CCCTGCACCCTCCAGCTGTTCATACATGGGTATCAGCGACTCGGGGTGGGGGGAACCTGCACTGTGTCCCTACACATTCAGCGGGCGAGACACAAGGACCCCTGTAGATCAGACCTACATAAAGGACAGCAGGGCTGTGGGCCTAGGTCTCGAGGCTGATGGGTTCCCCCCACTCCTCCTGAATGACTGCCAGAGCCCCAGGGACCCCCAGCAGCTCAGGCTTTGGGCTGCTTCCAGCCCTCAGGAGCCCGGGGTCTTGCAACGGGGACAGGGCTGGGAGCATTTCTTTCCGTGCTCTGCGGGAACCATGCAGAAGTGGGCCCTGCACTGGAGGGAGGTGGGGGGGCCGCACAGACACCCAGGGCACGTGGTGGTTTTTCCAGAGAGAGTTTTGAAGCCCTTGTTGCCTGGGTGCTGGGGGCTGTGAGAGGGTAAGTTAATTAATCCAGTCACCCAAGCCCTGTGTGCCCTCTACTCACCTGCACCTGTCCCCTCCCAGACCTGAACAAGGGTAAGACAAACAAGGGCCAAGGCTCAGGCAGCAAACAGCACCCTCGGTCAGGGGGTAGGGGAGGGGTCAGGTGCCGAGGCCTCAGAGCAGCACCTGTGAAGTGGCAAATGGCAGAACGGGCACCTGGGGTCACAGGGGGTGAACCATAGCCAGGAATGGCATGGAAGTTTCAGAAGTGGCGGGGAGAAAGATTTTTTTAATTTTTTTTTTCTTACATTTATTTACTTTTGGAAGACAGAGAGCACAAGCAGGGGAAGGGCAGAGAGAGAAGGAGACACAGAACCTGAAGCAGGCTCCACGCTCCGAGCCACCAGCACAGACCCCAACGCGGAGCTTGAACTCGCGGACCGCACGATCATGACCTGAGCCGAAGTCGGCCACTCAACTGACTGAGCCACCCAGGCGCCCCAAAGGGGAGGAAGATTTGTAAGGGACACGCAGCCAGACATGAACTGGCTCAAAGGGCACAGATGTGATCCAGGGATCAGAGTAGACCCCAGGAAGCCAGTGAGATGCAACTCCGCCTAGGGGAGGTGCGCAGTTTGGGACAGGGAAATGTCCCCAGAGGGAGGCCGGGCTGCTGGGGACAATTCTGGACACTGCAGACATTTAGCCTGAAAAGTGAGTTCTGCAGAAATGGGCCGTGTTGTGGCTTCCCTGCTCTCAAAGGTGGGCCCAGGTGAGCAGACTGCATGGTGGGTGCCAGGCACCGAGCTGAGAGCCATGCACACCAGCTCCCCTCACGGTCACAGCCACCTGGGGGGGAGGGGGTACCACTAGTGTCCTGCTGTTACAGTGGGGAAAACCGAGGCTCAGGGAGGTCAGTACCTTTCCCAGGCTCACACAGCACCTGAGCCCCACCTAACCCCTGAGGACAGAGCCAACTGGGCAGGCGGGAAAAAGACCCAGGGGTCCCCCAGCACAGTGCCACTCCGTGACACCTGCCCTCTGGTGGAGCTGACGGGCCCGTGGCGGGGGGGTACTGGTCCCTGGTGGGGGGGGGAGGGGGGCACACCCTTCGGGGGGCTGTGGGACAGGCCTGGGTGCCGAGGCTGCCAGGACTCAGGCCTCCCCGCTGGAGAGGTTGTGTGCACACGGTACGCGCAGACCTGTGCACACACACGTACGCACACGCCTTACGTGGTACTGTGGGCACTGCCCTCCTGCCCAGGGAGAGGAACGGCTGAATTCACACGCGACACCGGAAAAGACTCAAACCATTCCCCCGCATGGGCAGATGACCCGTGTAAGGGCGGGCCGCTTTCCAAACAAGCACCCACGTGACTTCCCGGAAGCTTCTCTACGCTGCCCTGAAGCACCAGATGCCTCTGGCGGAGACAGGACCTGAGAGTCAGTGGCACGCGCCAGATGACGAAGCCACCAGGGCCTGCACAGCCCCCAGTGTGACCCAAATGTCGTGCAGATGAGAAGCCCGAGGCCCAGAGCATCCGGTCACCCCGCTGCACTGTGGGGAGCCAGGACCCCACACTGCCTGCCTGTCACACCGCAACATGGTCCAGGATGGCTCTGTCCTCCCCAGAAGGGGCAAATCCTCCAGGGCCCTCCTCCCCCAGGACGAGGGTCTGTGCTGGGGCCAGAGAGTCCAGAAGCAGGCGGTGTGCCCTAGGGGACCCTTGAGAGCTGTCAGTAAGGCCGGTAGGACACCCAGTCCTGTCCCACAAAGGGGTCACTTACTGGGCACACGGTTGATGGCGCGGAGGGGCCGCAACACACGCACCGTCCGGATGGCGGAGAGGCTCACGTTGTGTCCGTCCAGGGAGTACTCCATCATGCTGGTGGAGGGGCAGCGGGACACAGAGGCTCAGGGGGTGCCCACAGCCCCGGGGGCAGAGGTGAGCACAGCCCTTCTCCAGGGCCAGGAGGCCCCGGGCAGGTGACCACACGTTGGGGGCCTGGTCCCCGAGCTGTACGCCGAGCCTCCCTGGGTCACCACTGGGGCCCCTTACCGCTCACCCCATCTGCCTGTCCTGCCACCCCCATTGCCAGCACAGGGAGCCCCAGGACCCGCGTCCCGCTCCCTGGCAGAGGCTCCCCACCCTCAGCCTCCTCCCAGATTAGGCTTTGCGGGGGGCCCCTGCAGAGGGCACCGCCCATCCCCCTTCCTGGAGGGCCCCAGGGGCTCCCAGCCAGGCTCGGTCAGGCACCGGCGCCACCGCGGGGCAGCCCTAGCTTTGGGGGCCAGGGGGTCCGTACCCCGCCATGACGATGAAGAAATCCAGCCTGTTCCACGTGTCGCCCAGGTAGCACTTCTGCCCGAACAGCCCCAGGGCGACCATCTTGATGATCATCTCCACGGCAAAGAAGGCGAAGATGAAGTCGTCGAAGGCCTGGTGGGAGGCGGGGCCTGAAAGGCGGGGCCTGGGAGGCGGGGCCTGCACCCCCGCACCCAGGGGCTGCCCCCGCATGCCCGCACCCGGGGATGCCCACCACAGGCCCACCTCCAGGATGCTGCAGCGCTCCGACCGGCACTCGACGTCCTCGCAGGGCCGGAACATTCCCAGGGTCACGCAGTTGAGCATGATGACCAGCATGCTGATGTGCTCGAACCACGTGCGGCAGGCGGTCGAGTTAAGGGTGGACGCTGGAGGCTGAGACGGCCGCGGGGCAGCAGGGCAGGGGGCGGCGGCACCCCTACGGCCGCCACGGTGCCTACAGGCACGTCACGGGCTGAACCATCAACAGCCCCCGCGCCCACCCCGTTGGCCGGGCCTCAAGGGGCAGAGCCCTGGCGCTGGCCACCGTGCGCAGTGACCGCTGCATTCCCGCGTGGGCCACTGCTGCCACCCTCGCGCTGTGGATGACGGCTGCGGCCCCTCTGCCAGGCTCTCCCCCCTCCAGCTCGGGTGTTCCAGAGTGAGGCCACACACTCGGTGCCCAGCCGGGACACCAACACGTGCTGCAGACGCACACGAACCATGAGGGGGACTCCACGCTAACCCCCACGTGATGCCAGCAGGCCCGGGGTGCCCTGACCACACCAGCTGGGATGACGGACACAGGCTTTAGCTCAGCTCAGGGACTGCGCGTGGAGGACCCACAGCCCTTTTGTGCGCCTGGATGGATGGGGGCCAGGGAGGCCACCCCAAGCGGCCTGCAGCGACCGGCCACCTCCAAGAGTGTCCTGCTGGCAGGAGAGTGTCCAGGTGGCGTGGGGGCCTCGGGAGCTGGGTCAGCAGCCACCCCCAGGTACTCTGCACCTCCGCCACTCAGACCCGCGAGAACTCCCGGGCATTCCCAGAGCAGCCACCAGGTGGCGCTGGGGCCCCACGCAGGCTGCACAGTGGCCTGGCCCACCGTAGCTGTCTCTGCGAAGGGGTGCATCCCTACACCCAGCCCAGCTGGATCCCCAGGAACTCAGGGAGCCCTGTGTGAGGCATGGGGAGAGAGCCAGGCAGCACGGGGGACGGGTGCTCCACACAAACCCTGGGGACGCACGCACGCAGTCCTCGTGGCCGGGAGGGCTTGGCGGTACTCTGCACTGCCTCCCCGCCCCCCCCCCCCCCCCCCCATGTCATCCCCACCGCACGAATCCCTGGACCCACCTCTGAGGTGGGCTTTCTGTGGGGCTGCCTAAGCCGGAGAACAAAGGGAGGAGAGCAATGGCCTAGGTGACCAGAACCTGGGGCACGGTGGGGATAAGGCCTGGGGAGCTGAATGGGGTCAGAAACACGGGGCATGAAGGAGACTCCTCTGCAGGGGCTGGAAGCAGCCCGTGCCCTCGTCTCCCCCAGCCTCCTGGGCAGGGGCAGAGCCAGCAGGGCACAGTGCAGGGGCAAGAGCGGGTCAGGGCCAGCAGGGCACAGTCCGGCGTGGTGCCAGGCCACCAGGGTAATTATGTTCCCGCCGAGAGCGCCGTAATTACAGTTAATGGGTTCAGCAGTAACAAGTGTTTCTTCTGTGGTCTGGCTGCAGAAAAACAGAAGTCAGCTTCCTGCTAAGGCGGCACCCTGGCCCCCAAGCCCCATGATGGGTTGTCCGGGGAGGACAGGCTGACACCCTGGGGGGTGGGGGGTGGGGGTTCAGACAGCTGGGCTAACGGCAGCACCAAATACCCAGGGTGTACCCACTGTGCATAAGCCTGGATCCATCTGGGGATCTTGGGGACCCCCTGCACAGATTGGGTCCCATGCTGTCATGGCGTGCTGAGGCTGCACATGGGCGCTGGTCCTCTCCACCACCCAGGCACCACTCTGCTGCCCTCCCGACCCCTCTGTCCCTCCACTGCTGCGGTAATAGCTCTGTGGAGAGCTCACGCGTGGATAGGACGTGTGTGTGTGTGTATGTGTGTCATGAAGACAGAGCTGTGGTCAGTGACACAGAATGGCTCAGCAGACCGGCCTGCAGGGAGACAAAGCCCCACATCCCCACCAGGCACGGCAAGTGGCTCTGGGCAGGCGACAGTGGGATGGCGTGAGGGAGTGCATCCCACCCCACCCCTCCTCCCTGACCCAGGTAGACCCTGGGTCTTGCAGGTGCACGCCCCGCCCCCACCTGGCAGGGAGGCAGCATACACGAGCCTGGGGCCCCCAATGTGCGTGTGCAGCCACCCGTGCAGGTGTGGGGACTGTCTGCCTCTTTGGAACCTGGAACCCCCTCTCTCTGTCCCAGCACCCCAAGCTCTCCCAGGCTGGGCTGCCTCCCCCACCAGGGAATCCTGTTTCTCCAGCCTGCTGCCTGACTTCTCCCAGGCTTGCGCCAGTGCTCACTCAAGATCCCCCTGGAGACCCCCCTGTAGGAACATCCAAACCAGGGAAGGTGTCCTCAATGAGGTGATGAATGTGCATGGTGGCCCTACACCTGGCCCGAACAAACCCACTGGCTACCCCCAAGCCCCTAATCAGCACTGCCACAGCCACTCCCGCCAAGCTGTGGTGTGGCCCCTGTTCTGGACCCTGGGGCACAGGGCCAGGCAGGGAATGAAGGGGTAGGTACAGGCATCTCCTGGCCTGGGGGTTTCTTGCAGGGGACCTGATCTAGACCCCGGAGCTGGTGTCAGGCAAAGCGGAGGACATCTACCCTCAACAGTGGGCAGGAGGCAGACTATTCAGGCCAGGAGCTAGGAAGGGCCCTCACTCCCCAGGAGGAGACACAAACCAGGCCCCCAGGAACTTGAAAAGACCGCTCTCCTGGGGGCCCCTGAGCTGGGGTCCTACCTCCCCTGTTCTTCCCAAACTGCTGGCAAGCCATGCCCGCCCATCCGCTTCAGGTTCCTCCTGACGGTGCTGCTCCTGTGGGCCTTGGCCCGCCTGCCCCACCCATGAGGCATGTCCTGGGGCTCAGGACCCCTCAGGCAGGAGTCTGGGTACCCATCCTGGAGAGCATGAACACAGGTTCATCCAAGAAGTGGGACGCTATCGGTGTGTGTGTGTGTGTGCGCGTGCGCGCACGTGGCTGGGATAACCACGCCGGTCAGCATGGCTCCAGCACCTAGAAAGTTCTCCATCCATCACTGAGATCGCTCGCCCTTGTGGAGCTACTATGCTAGTGATACAGCCTCTATAGCCTCTACCTCTCTCCCCCACAACCCCAAACACACACCTGGGAGGGAAGAGATCCTAGGGTCCTGCACCGGGGCCCCGAGACTTTGCCTCGGTCCGTGTAAAGGAAGGTGCACAGGAGCATGTGTGGTCCTCACAGGCAGCACAGGTCCTGTGGATAGCCAGGAGGCTCCCCCGAGACAGGGGTCACAGGGCTGAATCAGCCCCCCACATCAGCAAGGCCACCTTCCTCCCCCATCACACCTTAGTGGGTAGCTGAGGACAGGCAGTGCCACCCAGCTACCCATCCGGAGCCCAGTGACTTCTGGAGACTTAATTACACAGATGGGTTTTCTGGATTTTAATTAAAAATCCTTTAGGTTTGGAACCAACTTCTGCAAATTAGAGTCAATTTCCACCATGGGTCCAAGGAAGCCAAGCTGATGCACAAGCAGGAGGAGGCAGCCACTCCTGCATAGGGAGGGGCCCACGGTGCTGCCCAGGGCCTGGCCACAGAGGCTCCGGGGGCTTGAGTCCAAAGCTGAATGAGATGGTCTCACCCACAGGATCCCAGAGCCAGCAAGGCTCTGTCTGGCCAGCAGTGAGCCCTCTGACCTACACTCTTTGAGCGCCCTGGTCCCAGGCCCTCCCTCAGGGCTGGAGACCCCACCAGCGGCGGGGGCAGGGATCCTGTCTGTCGGGAGACCCCACACTCCGCACTCAGAGCCCTTCCAGCATATTCTGCCCAGCCTGGCCTGACGCCAGCCTTTCATACCTCCCCGCTTCCCTTCAGGCCTTTGCTGAACCAAGGCTGCACCACCTCTGGCAGCCACGCCACGGCTGGCCCCCCAGCCCTGGCGGGTGTGGAGGAGGGGCCCAATCCTGTGCTGAGGCTCTCGGTGCCAACTTCCTGACCTCTCCGACCATGGCTCCAATGCACCCCACACAGACACCCCAACGCGAGGCCGCGGTGGCGAGGAGGTGGTGGCCGCTGTCCGTGGTGCTGAAGCCGGCCCTGCCGGGGCTTGCTCAGGGCTGGGCCACTTGCTGGACAGCCCGGGGGATGCTGCTCGCCTGAGGGACTGAGGCTTTGCTGGGAACCGCTCCATCAAGCCACCCTTCCTCATTCTCAGACTCCCAGCTGGTTAAGAAAAGCACACCAAGAGAGGCTTCGAAGATGGCACTGGCCTGTGAGCCCCATCTCCTCCTGTCCCCGGGCGTGGGCACTGGGTGGGAATGTCCCAGAAGCGGGGGTGACCCCAGCGGGGGTGACCCCAACAGGGCTGGAAGCCAGAAGGGGCTCATGGCCCCTCCCCAGTGACCGTGGTTTCTAGGGTCCCGGAACCAGGTGGAGTTCCCCACAGACGCCTGCACGGCACGGGGCAGTGTGGTCCAAAGGGTGGTCCTGGACCCCCGAGCCAAAGCCTCATTGTTAACATGCAGCTCCCCACGGCCACCCAGCTGGCTCAAGGCCCCCAGACCCAGGGGGTGGGCCGTTTCTCCCCCTGCCCAGCTCTAAGCCAGAGGACGAGAGCCTGACGCCGACAATACCACTGCTTGCCCCTTCTCTTTTCTGAGCCTCGGCTTCCCCCCACCCCCATACGATGGGAGTGTGGCAGCTATATTTCAGGGGCTGAGGGAAGCACCCAGATTCCTTACCTTCTGTGGGAGCATCCAGCAGGCTCCATGTCCCCCCACCCTCCCTCATTCTGAGAATGCCACTTAAGCTCCCCTGGCCGGCCCCACACACGAGGAGGGAGGGGATGTGGTGTTTTCACCAGAGGGACAGGGACAGGGGGCTGGACACCCCTCACTGAGAGACACACACCAACGGGGAACACAGCAGCTGGAAGGGCCCCTCCGCAGGGCATGTGGGGACCAGGCCCTGATCCCACAGGCTGGGCTCCCTGAGGGGCTGTCAAGAGATCACGCGGATAGATCTGCAAAGCTCTGTCTCCGGAAGATGAGAAAGCCCCGTGCAGGCCAGCCCCGCCCACCGCCCTCCAGAGCAATCTGCTCAGCCAGCTAAGCTCCATTAGACCAAATCCACGACAGCTTGGCGTGAATGTCCTCGTGTCTGGGGGGAGGGGATGGGAGGGGGGGCGGCAGGGCAGGAGCAGCAGGAAGCAGGGGGCCCAGGGTGGGGTGGGCCAGAGCCCCCTCCTCACCATGGCCTCAGCCAGGTCGGGTCCCCCGTCTGCCTGTCTGGGACCCACAGCAGCTGCCCCCGCAGCCGAGAGGCGGCTTTGGGCCGTTGTGATCCCCCGTACACGGGGAGTGCTCAGCCCAGACCCCCACGCGAGGCCCTCAGACACCAGCCTCGGACCCCGATGGGCCTTCAGTCTTCCTCGGTAGTGTGGACAAGTGGCCTGCATGGGCACATGGGGTGTAGGGGTCAGCTCAGCCAGTCCAGGAGCTCCACAGGTGCACACGCCTGCCCCACAGACCACAGACACACAGCAGCCGATGGGAGGTCCCACATGCTGGGCCAAGGGCCCCACTCCGGTTGGACCGCTGATGGGGGCAAGCCCTTCCCAGCCCTGGGAGAGGTGGTGTGGGGCCTTCCGTGCTGCTGTGCACACAGGGCCTGCCGCCCCCGCCCCCCAGCCTTCATTCTCCTGAGCATTCAAGCTTGCTCTTCCATTTTGCTCCAGGAGAAGAGCGTATGTTTATTCATGGGGGAGAAAGCCCATCCTACAAGGGAAAACAATTGTGGGCCACTGACAGCAGACGTCTACTGTACCCCACACAGCTGAGTGGGTGGCTGCAGACAGAACAGCTGTGGGGCCGGAAGAAACACCCCACGCAGGCCTGAGCCAGCCGCAGACCAGACCCTGGGGCCCCGTGGGCGGCACGGGAGACCCCAAGAACCAGCCCACGTCTCAGTCACGGTGTGGCCTTCCCCGAGTCCAGCCCCTCCCGGGCGCTCCGCCCACACACCCACCAAGAGCCGGGCGGTTCCTGGGAACCAGTGAGGCTGCGGGCCCGGCGAGCCAGGAAGTACCACGCGGGGCCCCTGAACATCAGACCGTGTCCACGGACAGGGTGCGAGGCTGCAGCGGGGCCGCCGGCACTGGCGCAGAAACACATCCTGAGCAGACGGAGACCACCGTTCGTGAAAACAGCTACCACGTGGAGGCTCTCTCCTCTAGGACGTGGCTTGACACACGTGTACGAGAAGACACGGGAAAGTTCCGGCAGAAACCCTCACGGGGAGGGAGTGAGACAGGGTCCAGGCCGAGGCCGGGCCGACGGGGCTGGCAGGAGTCGAGAGGCCACTTTTGCTGTCCCCTACCCACCCCCACCCCGTGCCCTCTCGGCCCCCCGGTTCAGTCTGTGTGATTATGCATCTTGCGTGTTCTTACTGGAGACACACGCGTGACGGGGCTTCCCCGACGCTTCCCCGCGGCCCCCATTCCTCTGCACCACTCGTGGACACCATCTCCAGCCCTCCAGGTGGGGCGGGCAAAACGGACAAGGGCTGAGCTTGGCATCAGGGGCCTCTGGAGACGGCCAGTTCCACGTGGAGCGTAGATGGCTGCTGGCAGCACCACGGACCCCATGTGGGAGCAGCTCCCACCCAGGCGCACCCCAGTTCCTCAGACCATCAGGTCACACACGGCTCGGCACACCCCAGAGAGAGGAGGGCCCTCTGACAGACACGCACGGGCTCACGGCTGCCCACGGGAGGAAACAACCCAAACGTCCACTAACGCACGCGCGGATAAACAAGGTGTGGCCCATCCGTACAGTGACACATCCCTCTGGCCGAGAAGAGGAGCGGAACCTCCACACCTGCTACCACGTGGGTGAATGGCGCAGGTGGGGCGCTCGGGGACAGAAGCCAACGGAAGAGGACGAGGGTTGCGGGACCTGGTTCCAGGACCTGTGTTTCCTGTGTCCACAGCAGGCAAATGTGGACAGACCATGGACTAGTGGCTGCCAGGGGCTGGGGGAGGGGGGCAGAGAGTGAGAGCTAGTGGGGACAGGTTCCCTGTGGGGTGATGGAATGTTCTGGAACTAGGAAGAGCGGGAGGTTGCACCGCACCGTTAACACACTGAACTCCCCAGGACGTGTGCGTTTCACCTCAGTGACTGAAACACACAGAGTACTGGGGATTCTTTTTGACCACTCCATCTTGCTGGAGCCTCCAACCTGTCCTTGCTGTTCCTCAAATCCAGGCGGAGACTCAGGACCGGCACCTGGGCGGGCATGGAGGGACCCCCCCCCCCCCCCCCCCCCCC